ATTTTCTTATAGTCGATTTATTTTGTGAGGTTGCATTCGGATTGTTAGGGTTGTTACAAAGAAACTGTCGAACTTTCGGTAAATTTATTAAATTCGTCAGAACAAATCTAAAATAGATTACAAGAGTTTTTCAATATATGAATATGGAATACTCACTAACGAGAGAATAATAAAGAAACTATAACCAACGAATAGAAAAAACGTCAAAATTTGAATTATTTCAAAAAAAATTATGTTCAATTTTTGACTTTCTATATTTCTACTTTTGTAACCCGTCGTATTTGGCTTCGTAACCAACTTTTACACTCACAGTGCCTAATAAAATAAATGAAATATAACCGTGGTCTGAACACTTTTACCAATAGAAAATGACGTTAGCTGAAAATCAACAATTTTGTTATTTATTTGCTTTCGAAACTAGACGCTTTATTTGTCCTAATCACCTACACCACTGCACTAATAAATGTAACCTGTTCACTAATAATCTAAGCCATTAAAAATGCTAATGAGTGAGCAATTTTTTTCATGCTTTGATTGCGTATCGGAGAAATTCATTAATCAAACAACTATTTATGTCAACGCAGATGATGAACAACCGCACTGGTCAGTAGCTCGTTAAATGACATATTTGCTGTTATTTCCGATTCTTTATTTAGATTAGATTCACGACTAGAGACTAGACGACTTCTTCGAATCGTCTACAAAATTAAAACTTGTGTCAAACGCAATCATTTTATATGATGGAATCGGCCGATACTTGATGAAAATCAAACTAATGTTGAATATATGTTGAAAGACACGCCAGATGAAGCCATTGTATGGCGAAACTCGTGTTGCGTTTTTGTAAAACAATTTAGTGAAAATCTCACAATAAAGTGTTTTTGGAATACGCAATCATTTTAGTATTGAAGACGTTTATATATATTCTTTGTGCGAAGTAAATCGTGAATCATTTATCAGTTCATTAAAATTTCTAACCATTTTGAATTTATTCCTGAATTATAATTAGTCCTGAATATACCGTTTGCCATAGTTGAAATTTGTAGTGGTAACATTTTAAAAATGTACAAATATTTCGAAAAAAGCCCAATCTCGTTTCTAAACGAAGTTGAGCAAACAAAATAGCATATCCTCTAACCCCAGTAATCTCACCATCATCTCCTCATTGAATCCAACTGCAAAAACACTTCAATAGTGTGATAAATCAATAAAAAGCTGTTTACAAAAGTACAAAAAAGAGAGAGTTTTATTGCCTCATATAATTGTTATTTTCATCTAGTCACTTCAACAGACATTCAATGAGAAACATTTTTTTCAAAAAACTACTATAGTAAATATTTTGATTTGATTTCCTTTCCCAATACACAGAAATGAATGAACATGTATTCATTCATTTAGCTACTGACTTTCTCGTTTGGCTCTATAGCCATTTGAGATTACAATGTAAGACTAATTGAAGAACAATTGGAAAATAGTTCAGATTGAGATATTAAATTTCAATGATTCCCTAATAGTATTTATATTCATCACGTACATACCAACAGCTATAAATATGTTCACCAGTTATTAGTTCCCAGCCAACTGTGTTATGAAGCGTGGTAAACGTAAGCTGGACTATTGTAGATAGATGGGGCAATGGCTTTCCCCGTGTACATGACACGGTGGGGATAAATTAGTCACTGACTCCCGGACTATAACGAAATTTTCTACTATCGCTCAAGACTAATACGAATAGTGTATTTGTTATGTAACGAAGTAACATGAAGTTGTCTATTTTCATCTAAAATTTTCTACGAACTCAGTTTCAAAATAATAGTAACACTATTTTCGAAATTTTGAATTATTTAAATACTTTATGGTCTGCTAATTTGTCAAGTATATCTCGTAACATAACTGAAATCAAAATTCCGGTAGACCATTCAGAATTCCAACACACCAATTAATATTTGGCAGCTATTTGGTTCACTGATGAGATGAGTGCAAAAATCAGTATTTTTAATAGTGGCTATCAATCATTGTCAGTTATTCAGTTTTATTATTAAGAAGAATATTTTGAAAGATGATTAAATATTTAATAAATATGATTTTGATATCGCTGTTTTAATTTTACTCCGACAACTTATCCTACAGGTTGGCTTTTTATATTGTGTAATGATCAGTTTCGATAAAATAATGATACAAAAATTCAAAAAGTATCAAAATTCAAAGTAATAAGAAATACATTTAACAAGAAAAATATTCGTACCAACTTTGTTAGGTTTGACTTGCAAATATTATTTAGTCAGTTATACAAGCTCGATGGTTAGTAGAATGTTTAACTTTTATAATGTTATGGAAAATGGAAAAAGGAGACGTTTTCTGAAGTTTTTGAAGGATTATTAATTTTCAATAATTTACCAATCAATAAAAACAATTGGACACTAAGTCAAAGAATGAATTTGATACAACAACCACCAAGTGGAAAATAAAATAAAAATACATTGCCCGATGTATAATTTTGTTGTTTAATTTTGGATTTTGAAGAGTGAAAAAATAAATCAAAACTTAAATTTTCTGTACCAAAATTACGAATATTTCAAAAATTTCAAAAAAAATGAATCTTAGTTTACAGGGCAAAATTAGTGAGATCCTACATTCAAAATTATTTGTCAGAAAGAAAGTATAAGGGAAATAATCGGTTCACTCATGACTATAATGTGTGGCGAAGCGTATTTTCATATAATGTTTATGTCAAAGCAATTTTACAGGTTTTTCGCAGTGGTATGTCTGACGTTTCGTCTACTACTGCGGTAGACATTATCAAATGCGACGTGCTCGAGTTGGTGCTTGAGTTGTTGTTCCCGGTGTTCCCAACGCAGAAACTATAATGCTTCCCCCATGCCCCCTCGGATTGAGTGCCCTGAGAAAGAATCTTGCCCAAATGGTTATTGTGTGCAGAAGCTAGAATCCCGTTCATAAACCCCCACTCATACCTAAGTGGACTTCAACCTGTAGACGGGCACTTCAGCAAAATTTACATCTGGCCTCCTGCCGTTGAAAGTCAGCCTTTAGGTGCTTTCACTCTCGTGATCTGTTGGTTTTATTTGTTGTGACTTAACTGAGTAATGATTGCATAGGGGTCCTCTCAATCTTACCGAAGACAAGTGTCTTTTGGTCGTGAACTATGTTGGTGTGTGTGTATCTGTAAGAAAGTGTGTATTAGTAATCCGTATATGAATTTTCATACTTACTGGATCCACCTGACAGCGACTTCCAAAGGTGGTCGTTGGTTCTGCTTCGTGAGCCTTCCTTTCGCGAAATCTGGGCTGTTGAGCGCTTCATGTAGGCCACGTAGCGCTGGACTGGCGTGTGTTCGTATTCTTTCGAATACATTTTCAGTGTGCTCTCACATGTATGCGTCTACGTAGTCCAGGTCCCGGTAAATGAATCTGTAAGGTATATATCTTGGAGCGTTCACAGCAGCTCGTAAGCAAGCATTCATGAACGTCTGGATACCGCGTCTGTATGTCGCTGCGCACTGGCCCCAGGCAGTGGAGGCATACAGTATAATGGGAAGTAGTACGGTCTTAATGGGAAACAGTTTCACATGGAGAATTATGTTACTTCTGCGGCTTATAATCGGGTATATAGGTTTTATCGAGCGGCTCTCACCCTAGTCCCTGTCGTATGTGGGACCTCCTGTCTAGGGTGACTCCCAGGTATTTCGCTTCGTTGGTCCATGCAATCTCTTATCCATTGAAGATGACGTTTCCGGGTGGGCAGTATCGCCTGACTTCTATCAGGGTTTATACTGATTTTCCAAAGATTGGCCATTCCTCTATTATATTCGCTTGCTGTTGCAAGTATCTAGTAACTTGCGCGTGGCTAGTTGATTTTGCCAGTAGACCCAGTCTGCTGTGTACATCGAGAAGAGGTGTGGGGAAAAACTGTACCTTGTGGGACCTCTAAACCACAAAAAACACAATATGTTGAGTTTGATGTTGAAATTTTTTCACCGACACAAGTAACACTTGAAGTACCTCAGGGGAGGTTTTTGGTCCTTTAGTGTATACTCTTCAAACTCTGAGGGTACAATACTGTGAACTTTAATTTTATGCGGAATATACATGGTTTTATTTCTCTTACATTTTGAAAATTCTTCAGAACCAGTGAAACGAATGGACTGGATTCTGAATACATATTTTGATATATTGAAATATTTTAATAATAATTCAATAATAACAATAATTCATTTTTTACGTCATTGTGAAAAATTAATTGAAAGTTGTGCTTCTAACCATATAATCGAATAATGTCCACTATTCCCTAAAATTTCATCGGTTGAAAAGGTTTTTGGATTCAGGTAATGAAAGTATTGTTTGTGCTTTTATCGTTCTGTTATTTCAAAATATAAATTTGTCGTTAGAAAAAGAGCAAAATTGGGCAGGTGTTTCAATAAACCAAGGTCCTCGACGTATTTATATCTCTTCAATCTACTCATAAGCCTTCTGTTAAACCCAGTGCTTCCACAGCTAGGTTCACCAGCTTAAGTCGCTTAAAAAATACTCCTACTTTTGCTCTCTCGTAGTTGCAAACCATTCAAAGGAGATGATCTGAACTCATGATCGCTTTGCAGGTTCTACTCATTATACCATTCTATTGGTGATTGTTGAAGCTCCTTTTCAATCATTTAGATAATTGTAATCTCGTTGTGATGAACACTCAAATAAAATATATTTTCTCTGATGAGAAAACTTGTTGTTAGTGTTTGTATGACCACCCTATAAATGCATTAAGCTTAGGTACGTTACTCGCTTATCCATCGTTGAACTCTCCAGCCCATTTCCTCAAATTGCGCGGTTATACCAGACTAATCGTCCGGACTACCATTTATCCTTTGACGTAACAATTAGTACCATCAGCCACGATAAGTACTCCAAGCAGAACGACTTCTGGTGGGGGTACTCCGCGTTTCATTGAAAGCGATGTAGTGAAGAAACGTCAGTCAGTTTATGTTAGTCTGCGTGTTAGTGAATTGTATTTTTCATTTTCTATGCGGCCACACGTGAACGTGATGTGAATTTTTTTATTGTATATTAAACTATTTCGGTTAGTGATGTTTGAGTTATAGGACTTTGTTTCCACAATATTTTTGGTGAGTTCTGTATTTCTTAATGATAATATCGATAAGATTCAATGTATTATAAAGTATTAAATCACCATTTAAGAGAAATATTTTTATTTTTCAATTAGTTATCTGAAATATCTTACTGTTAATTGTATAATTTGAAACCACTCTTATTAATTGATTTTTTTCCTATATTCAATTCAATGTTCGAAACCATTAGATTATATGAATACCTTGTTGAATGGTTCTGTTAATCAATATTTATTCTGGTAATTGAATTTAATTATTTCAGTTTGTTTTTGACATATATATGAAGGTGCAAGATTTGAGTTTGTACTACAATTAGATTTTTTTGAATTGTAAAATTCTATATAGTTGTTTCCTGATAATTTGATTTCATCATTTTATTCTGAAGAATTTTCAATAGTTTTGGTAAATGGTTCAATGATATTGGATTTGTTTCCGTAAAATTTTCAGGTGCATTATGAATTTTTGTTTATAATTATCTTCCAAACAAAACATATGATGAACAATTGATGATTAATTTTTTTCAAAACCTACACCTCACGATTTGATCTTCACAAACTTTATTTGAAAAATATATCACATTTTTCGCTAGCACAGTAGCTATTTCAAGTGATTTAAATCACTGAACTGACTGAACCAAATTTGAATAGTTTATGAAGAAAAGAGAATTGTAACTTTCTTTGTTTTTTACCACTTACCACTTTTATGTAAAAAGCATAGAAAGTTTCAAATCTCTTTTCTTCATAATGTTCCTGTCACGTAGTAACGGCTACATCCATCAATTTATTGAATAGCTCACTTCACTTATTCTAATTTCCAAGTACTTCCAAAGTATATACAGCAGGTTGACCAAATTTTTTAATGAAAATGAATATCTTGATATACCAACGGTATAATTGATGTCACTTTTATGTCGTACCTCCTTGGAATACTTCCATATAGCACATTCTGTTAGGACTGTTTCAATGTTTTTCCATCAAATTAATTGAAGTGAATATCCATGTCTGCAGTGACGAACGAGCCTTTTCAGGCTTTATAATAAATTACTACACGAAATATTTTATAAGGAAGTTTGAGAAATTCACGAGAAATCACGTTACATCCACCAAAAAAGAACAAAATTAATTTCTACATAGGCAATCTTACTAGTAGAAATACTTAGATCATTGTCATTATAGACTTCACTACCAACTCCAGTCAATACAGGGGTCCCACAAGAATCTATACTGGGGTTGCTACTTTTCATGGTCTATCGTCACAGTTTCATATTGTAAAAGTCATTTTTACGCTGATGACACCCAATTATTCCCGGAATTTTCTGAAACTGATACGCAATATGCATGTGAGAGGACCTCCAGAGATTACAGGATATTTTTCTGATTGATTCGGCCGTTACTTGATGAAGATCCATAGTAATTAATCATTTGAAAAAGCTAATGTTTTAGCGAAACATGTTATGATTATTTTCAATAAAGTTAGTGGAGATCAAATCGTTTAAGTGTAGTTTGTGAAATTACAGGATATTTCAAAAAAATATTGTCTTGGCATCAACCCTCTAAAATCTGAGACCATGCTATTTGTAAAAAAGCGTTACGAACTCGGATCTCGGGTCAAATCTTGCTGCAAATTAATGGAAAGCCACTACTGTTCAGCGATTCGGAGAAAAGTCTTGGGGTGATTTTATATACAGATATGAGATTTATTAAACACATCTCTAAACTTCTGCAGTTTGAAGTTGATCTATACACCAATAGAAATATACTAACCAAAAGGAGCAAAATCAACTTTTCAAAACTGAATTTTGCTGACTGTATTCACGGTCCTTCTATCCTCAGTTTTGACAGTCGAGGTATTCAATTTACTCAAAACAAGTGTGCGTTTAATATGTGGGTTACGAAGACGAGAACATGTGTCAACTCATCTTTCTGAACTTGGTTGGCTACTAATGGATAAACGCAGGATTTGACATTGCTGCAGACTTTATCATAAAATCCTCACAATGAAAAAACCTTCATTATTGTAAAATAAGGTGTAATTCAGACATGACCAGCACAATATCAATGTACGTTATGGAACTAATATTTCAATCCTGAAACATGAAACATCGTTGTTCAAATAAACATTTTCGTATAATATAGTCATGCTTCACAATTGTATCCCCATTGAAATGAAACATATGTGAATTCATTCTTTGAAACCTCAATTTTTTTTTAATGATTCATAACTATGCTGATATAATTATTATTACCTTTCTGTGTCTAAACGTATTTGCAGGTGCCACATAAAACTCGAATATTTCTATTAGGAAAGTTTATTTATTTTCAATCTTAGCATTTGTTTTTTCTTCTTTTTTAATTATTTAACTATCTAGGGATTTATTTCTATACAGCTTTTCAACCTGAAGTAGAAATTTTAAGATGTGCTTATCAAATTGAAAATTTGATTTGTAAGTTGAGTAGCCCACACAGCACTAGATATTCATTGAATATTCCCTGTATATCATAAAACGAACGTATATATTCCAAATATTCATAGAATATTCTTGGAATATATACATACCTTTAGAATATTCACAGAATATGCTTGAATGAATATGGCAGGATTATTCCCGAAAGAATGTGCATAGAATGTCTATAAATGGATTATTCTCCCTTGAATATTCTAAGAATATTGTCGATCGAATATACCATATGATATATTCTTAGAATATATCCGCACGATATATTTTGGAATATTCTATACAATGGAATTTTGAATTATCTTATAATAACGTATTCAAATAATTCAATATTATTAAAAACAAAAATATTTGAAGATCTTAATCGAATGCATAACCTAATGTATATAACCCTGATAGTGTTAACCAGTTTTTGAACTCAACGCAAAGATTCTGGATGAATTGCTCCAACAGCAACTGTTGGAAACGACAAAAAAAATTGAATGGGCCAATAAATGAACCAATTGCATCAATAAATTGGTTAATTCTCATCCTATTTGTCTTTTTGTATTTGAAATTATTTAATTACAAAGCGAAAAATCCTGGAAACAGAGAAATGGGGAAGTGAAAAATTGGAGTAAACGTTTCTCATTGGTCAATTGAAGTGTAGCGCGCGACAGTCGAATAAGCTCTGTGAAAGCGGCTGTCCCTTAATGCATGGTATATTTGCGTTTGCGTTAAATTCGACATTTGATTCAACATGGCGGTTGACGTGGCAGGTTCGCGTGTGTAATGCATGGTGTGTTGGTGTTATTATCAAAGTATAATTCTGTCACGTTCAGTGTACCATTTATAATTTGGGGTTGTCCAATTTGCAGTACAGCGAATAGTTTGATTTTGGATCTTCAAACAGGAGAGTTGCATCTATTCAGTCTTCAAGAAAAGTAAGTAAAATGCAATAGTATCGATAGTAAAGTCAGGGTGATTAACCTACTATACCTCATTTTAGGTTCGAGGAGAGTCGGTGTGTGGACAATGCAAGTTGCTCTCCAAGTCATGAAATGTTGTAAATGTTCATGAGTAACCTATGCGAAAAATATCTATTTGATTTTTATTCCAGTTTTATTGTGCCACTTTCAAATAGTGATAATGAACGTTAATGTACATGTTGTTCCAGGTATTACTATTGAAACACTGGATGATGCATTGTTGGACAAATATAAGGAAAACTATTCTGGTGAGCAAAGTTTGAATAACTTTAAGTAAGTGAAATTCATTGAAGAACCCATCATACCACTCATTTTAAATACTTCATTTGTGGGTTTATTTTTCTAAGTGAGAAACCTAACCTAACCTATTTCTTGATGTAATACACTTTTTCAATGAAATGATATATTTATTATTTTTTAATTAGTGCTGATGAATTCACAGAGTTGTTATTTTAGTATATTTTTTAGTATACATTTGTTTGAGAGTAGGAACATCCTAATTTGAATACATTTCTAATATTTGTAATATGACAGTATTCAGGAATATTTTATTCAGTGAATAAATATTTCGAATTAGATTTTTTATTTTTAATATTGGTTGAAACGTCAAATATTTCAGTGTATATTGTTTTTAAAATATATTTGTTTATGAATATTATGTGTTTTATTACTTGTGTGAATCTTGTATCAAAATGCAATATATACATGCCTAATAGCGGTTACTCGTCACATTCTTGAAATATTTCAAATATTCCTAGAATATTCATAAAATATATTTAAAGAATATTCTATGGTGTTTCTCTATTGTATATTCTCACAATAAACTAAGAATATCCTGAATATTTTATGAATATTCCTCGGGTTCTATTCCTGGAATATTCTTAATAGAATATACCTTAGATATTCTAAGAATATTATAAGATATTCCAAGAATATTCCCAAGGAATATTCTTAAAATATATCAAAGGTTCGCCAGGAGCACTTCCAGGGAATATTCTCCAGAAGATATATATATCCATGGCATATTCATAGCATAATGCAATATCCTTAAATGTATATTCATGAAATATACCTGGAATATCTATTGCTATGTGGGGAAGAGCGCTGCTTCTCAAATGAAAAAGCACGAACTCTGCCTTTTGTCAGACATGTGTATTTTGTTTTTTTTCTTTTTCACTTCATCATATGTAAATGTATTTATATGTATATGTTTATGATTTTCTGGCAATAAAATCAATTAGTAGATATAATTATAATTATTATTATTATTATTATTACAGTAATCAAAGATCCTTCAAATCCAATTCAAATGACATAATAACTTATAGGAGGCTACCAAATTCCAAGTTAGGATATGATGAACAGAAATATTTTCTAAATTTCTTGAAAACTTCTGAAAAAGTTCATCTTACAAATAAAAATATTTCTTTTCAAGGAGTATTTTCAAATTATTTGATTCAACTTATCTTAACTTTTTCAATGCTGCTATCTTAACAGTAAAATTCATCCACAAAAAGGAAACTGGGCAATTTTTACGACACAGTTCAGGCAATAGTCAGAATATCGGCATCACT